GAATTCTGGGAGTTGAAGTCCACACATCTTAAAGTTGCTGAGATTGAGAAACACTGTCCTAATGTATAAAGATCAAATGCATGCTGAAAAGGAAATAGAAGTATATAAAGTTTGGGTGAGCCATAAATTTTGCCAGAACAACAATGCGTCTCGTAGGACTACTAACACAAGATTAGAAATCCGTGCTAGCTACAGAATGCAGTACTCCTAAAAAGCTCTTGTTTGTTAGTTTTAAAAGAATGCCATAAAAAAGAATGGCTGCAATCATGGCAAGTCAGCAAGTCAGGAGCGCTGGCTAATGTAGGCTTATTTGCCCCTAATAAACAAGTGGATCAACAAATCCGAAATAATGTTTTTTATATTGTGTTGAACCTGGAAGCCTGACTTGATGTTCTCAGCCAATATATTCTAGCTTGCTCCTAGTTTATAGGGACCAATGAGTATGGATCTTAGGTTTAAACCACAAGAAATGTATCTAATCGAACTAGCAAGTGGAGTGAACAAACCGTGAATACCAGCACAGGGTTCATTCATGGCAAGCCAATTTTAGTTAGTTCTCCTGGCTTTATTAAATGCAAATACTGTATAGTCATACTGCAGGTTGGTTTTAGAGGTCCACACAATTCTTTTCTCTCTTGCTCACTAGTAGAAGCAAAATAAAATGTCAATTTACTTAATTTGGTTTTGTAGTAATATAGGAAATGTTACTGATTTTTATCTTCTTTGGATGCTGGCCTAGGAGCTGAATTGTGCATTTTACAGAGGGGTATTTGTACAGTCATGGTTTAGGTGAAGTTTTCAAGCTGAGCTCAGATCCTGGCCGTATTCTATAGCAAAAAATATATAGCAACACATATATAAAGGAGCAGATCTTTGGTTACATGGTTGTGGCTTTCATCTTGAATTTTGGAGCTCCTTCCCATTCGATGGCTGGTTCAAAGCCTTTCAACTTGCTCTATGTGGAGTAGTCAAATCATCCTTGTGTTCATAGTTTGGGCAAGTCATTCTTTAACTTACTAGCCTGGGACAAGTTTGTATCTAATGGAATATCTATTGTTTGTTGGCAACATTGCCAAAATTGCTTCCCACTCTTTTTATATAGGAGCTACCCAAATATTCCAGCCAGAGGCTACTTCAACTGTACATATGTTATTACATCTATATATCATGTATGTCTATATCTAGTGGGCCTATGATTTAAATGTCGCAATTTCTTTAGATGAGTTGAAGTCCAACATAAATGAAGGCTGTCATGTTAAGGAAAGTGATCTAGGATATCAGTTATGATATGGCAAATGATGTGGGAAAGCATTAGCTATGGATAAAAAACCCAACACATTTTAAATAATCCCTATCAGTGGTTCTTGAAAAGCTAAGATCCATTCCAGAATATATATTCAGCTATAAAATGGATTCTGACCTATTTCTAAAATACTGCTTTCCAATGTTTTAGATAAAAGATGCCTGGAAAATAAGTCTGGTGAGTTTTGCTATTATATTTAGGAATTATTTTAACTTGATTCTTTTAATCTTTTAGTAGAGGTTTCCTAATCCTTTGGGGTTATGTATTTATTTTTCTTTCCCCAGACCTGTGTGAATCCCAGCACTGGGGATACAATTCCATTCTTCTTTAGAGGAGGAGGTTAGTTTCAAATATCATTTTATTGAAATTTGGACTTGGGTTTTTACAGTGTTTGTTTATTTGATTTATAGCCCTCCTTTCATTCAGGAGCACTGTACTGTACATAAGTGCCTTCCTCCTATTTTATCCCACAACCACCACCCTGGGCAGTAGGTTGGGTTGAGGGAAAGTGATTGGTCCAGCGACAGCCAGGAGCTTCAGTGGCTGATGGTGGATTTGAATCTGGGTCTTCCCGCTCATGGTCGAACAGCTTAACCACTTCCCCACATTGTTGTTAGTACTGATAAACTGATGAATAACATAACTGGAACGAAAGTTAATTTCAGTATAAAAGGTTAATAGTATTGTTATTAACGTGGATTATCCACAGCCTTCATCCGTTTTCTTGTAATTGTGGAATGCATGCTAGAACATGATCTCAGTATTAATTTACACACTTCTTGTTCTTATTGGTGATTGTGGTTTGATAAGTATGTGAAGTGAATGTATTCCAAAAGAAAGACACAGACTGGCCTTACACATCACACTAAGTCATAATGTAGTTTATTTGGTTTTGGCTTAGTGTGTTATATGCACCCAGCCACTGTAGTTGATAAACATACAGTAGGTTGTGGCTTAGCTTGTTGTGTGGACTCTGATGGTTGTGGTTTATTTAGTAAACCTTGGTTGAACAAAGCATGGCTTAACAGAATATCTAAAGTAAGCAAGCAAATATGCCTTCTTAAATGCCATAATGGTTATTATTGTGCATAAGACAATATCATAATTAAAAACATAGCCCATCCCAAGACTTTTAAGGCTTCATCATCACTTTTTAAATCTTTGGACTTAGCAATATTTGTCTTGTTAGGACTTGCTTCCAGCATGTAGGAGCATGGAGAACATTAATTGAACATCTGTTGCATTATTGAAGTGATTAATTCCTAGATGAGCACAATTTTACCTTATTTTAAATAACTGACAACCTGTAAAACAAACATTGCTTATTTAGCACCAGTAATTTCCTAATGTAATGAGGTATAAAACTACAAAGAGTCCATACGGTTCCATAATTCATGATTTTATTCCACATAGTGCCTCTTAATTTAACATTACTGTATATGTTGACATAATTTTATTTTATGTTATTTGTTTATTTTTCTATCACTCCCCCAGGATGGACTGGGCAACAATTGCTAAGTAACTGGATAGTTTTCTTTCTCTCTCTTTTTCAAAGCTTTTGTGTGTATTGCTGCCTCACTGGTGAGTAATAATGGAAGTTTTCAGAATGTCTGTATTGCAGTTTTAAAATGAATAAATATATAAATCTTGATACCATTGTACTAATTGTTCTATTCCTTAATTGAACTCAATAAGTTACTCAGTTTAATCTGCAGCTGCAATGCTCCATCATATGTAGAGATAAAACATACTGCTGACAATTTCCGGAGAGCAAACTGGTATGTGTCTTTCCTGTCTTTGCACCAGTATAGCCCAAATTGGCCACATCCAAGAGGGAGGAACCATCAAACTCTGAATCACCTTGGATTCACAGAACACAGAACTTAAGAAAAGATTCTATTTCCTCCTAAGCAGCCCAGTGATAACCAAATGGCACAAAATGTTGATAGGTGGAAAGAGGAGGAGAAAACATGACTGCTTGGGAGAAGCTCACGAAATAGACAGACAAGGAATAACATTCGGTGGGAGGGAAGATCAAATAGACAAGGAGGATGAAAGAAGAGGTGCATGAACAAAATGTTATGAAAATTATTGTGATGTGTGAGGTGCCATAACTATGGCCCAATTTAAGTTATCCGAAAAAGTACGGAGGCCAAAGTACTCTTTGAATGTTTTTAAAGGCAGTGGGTAAGTAATACGGGTGGCAGAGTAAAGTGGTGCTAGCAACAGAAGTTATGGTATGTTCAAGCTATTCATTGAATCCAGATGCTTCTTCAGATGCTGCTGAAGTGACTTGGGAACAGCCACCTCATAGTGGTGCCCGTGATGCTAGTGGCAACTCTGGATTTGGGCCTGAGAAAAAATGGACGTTTACTTCTGGAACTATAGGATAGCGCTGTAGCAAAATATAAAATGATCACTTCCACAGTCTGAATTGATAGTGAAGATATGTATCTTTGCAATATTGTCCAGATGTGTTTCTCATATAAACTTTGATTCACAGGTTGCAGTTGCTTCATTACCGTACAAAAGGTTTTGGTCATCATTTTCCCGGCAGGTACTGGCCAAGCCATTCATTTTGTATTAATGTGTTTAGGTTAATTTATTAACTCATGTTGATATTGTGCATTTGTAATCTCAAATTTTGCAGTTTGTTTTCCATGCGTATGTTGGTGGATTCAGTTTGGTAAACAGGAACTCTGTAAAAAGACAATTGGAGAATGGTGAGGGAAAGGTAAGTGTATGTGGCAGACTGCAACAATCTTTTTATGCAGTGTGGTGAATAGACGTGCTTTCATATGTTTAACATTTTTTGTTTTCAGGAGTTTTCATGGAAGCAGGCACTTCTTCCTGTTGGGAGCATCCCAGGTTTGGCCTTAATAGGAGTATGTATTGCCAATTTCTGTCTGTTTTTTGTTTTCTGATTATGCCTTTGTTTCAAGGGAAGGTTGTATATGGAGAGGCATGGATTCATGCTGTGAACTCTTTGTTAATTTATAGAAGGGCTTGGCAGTGTGATAGCCTAATGGTTTCCAGCATTTTTTTTAAAATGAGAAGGAAATTTGTTTTCAGCCATCCTTGCTTAAAACTGCCTCCAACCATATGTTCCAATTCTAAATGCCTAAATTTATTGCCTAAATTTAACTTAAATCATGCCTATTCAGTGGGATGTGAGCTAAACTTAGTGCTGCTTATGTGTATGCTTGCTGTCTTTGTGGCTTTCCATAGGTTTTGTAGTACTACCTGTAGGTGTCCCTGTTCTTCAGAGGTTGATATTCCCAATCTCTTGTTGCCAGATTTCTTGTGCAGCTGTTTGTTTCTACCATGTCTAGATTGATAAGCAGCAAAACACAACAGAGAGCATGTACTATGAAGGAGAAAGACAATCTGCAGGGTTTACTGTTTTTGTGGGGGTTCAGGATTTATAATTAAAATATTAAGGATACACATGCACACATACACCAAGAGTCTTACCTGATTAGAATCCCTCTAGATTTTGATTTGATTTTCTTAGATTACTAGCACAGGCAACCTGTTTGTGGACTGAGATTGCACTTTTCCCCCCAGCCTCTACGGTAGGGGTCAGCAATATATGGCCCACAGGCTGGATATGGACCACCAACAGAAATCAACCAGCCCATTGTCCCAAAAAGAAATATCATATCCACTTGGCCCACAGTTCTAAAAAAGTTTGTAATTCTATCTCAGACCTGATGTAGAATTGCACTACGAGCCCATGTATAAATATACACGTGTGTTTATGGGTTACTGAGTTCTCTTCCTCCTCCCTCCATAAACATTTCTTTCCCCAGTCACAAGATGTGCCCCAAAACTGCTGAAGGTGCTTTCATATTCCCCTTTGGCCACACTTCCCTTTCTTCTAAGAAATATGTCTTTAAGGTTCACCATGAAGAGTCCTCCCAGTGCCAGTATATTTGCCCAAGAGAGAGGGAGTGGGTGAACTGCCATCTGCTCACAGATGTGATCTGTGGCCCCTGTGTGGAAGAAGGTTGCCGACCCCTGTTTTGGGGGTCATAGGAGGCATGATGTCACTAAAAAAGGCAATGCTATTTTGACTCTGTTGTGTTTTCTGTTTTGGAGGGCTGGAGATTGAAGGGCAAAAGAGGCACACTAAACTTAATATAAGGCTAATATACTATTTTAGATCTTATTTTTGAGGGGGGAAAAGTAAACACTTGGATAGCTGAAAATTAGTGATTTGACATTGAAGCTCAGTGGTGAGCTATTTGGTGACATGGGAGCCACAAAAAATGATGTGGGCTGCATCCAGGCATAAAATGTGAGCTTGTTGAGGATAGACTTACTAACATTTAGGGGAAGAAAGCTTATAGTCAACAACTTTTTCTTTCATGAAATAAAGCTGAGTACAAAATAACTTAATGTCATGGACAATCTGTTAACACACACACACACACAAACACACACACTAAGACAACTTGTTGTTTCTAGGCTCTCCCTAACTACATTATAGAACGTAAGAAATCACTGAATACTCCAGCGCATTTCTTCAGCAAGGTCATGGCAAGTGGTCTTATGGGTGAGTAAATGAAAAGTGTTAAGGCTCCTTAAAACATTTATTTACAGGTTCTATGCATCCAGCTCTCAACAGGCTTGTCTTATGTAACTTTTGCTTTGTTCCAACAGGGTATCAGAGTTAACAACTCTGAAACCTAACCATGTTGTTTAAAAATTGTCCTTATTGAAAAAACCCTAATTCAAATGTTCACAAACATTGCATATGAATAATTTATTGCTGGAAATCAAGAATGGAGCTCTCATTCTAATGTTTTATTATTATTATTTAACAAGCCCCATGCTAGAAAAAAAAATCACAATTTTTTATTTTTAATAGATTCTAAATACTGGGCATATTTCCAAGAGGAACATATGTTCTTTTAACACACAGCAATAAATCCAGAGTCATATTAACAATTTTGTTGCTGTCATCCCTAAATGCAACAATAGTAGGTTAAGACCAAACCACATGAGTTAATGTTCTGACTCCTGAGATTCTTGGGTTTACCTCTGAATCTTGATTCTTGCTGATAAAAGGGTTCCATGTGGTCTTTATCAGTTTTTTATCAATTTTTGCAGCCTTTGAGGTATAAAATCCTGTTGGTTGGTAAAATGTAAGATAGTACTCTCAGTCCAAATTCTTTTATCATTAATAGTGAGCCAAGCATGTTTAGACAGGGGGTTAACACATTTCATGGGAGAGCGCTCATTTGACCACCCTACCCAAAGATTGCCTTCTTCTATCCAAACTTCTCTGACCTCTTCTTGAGGTTCAGGGACAAGAAATTTTATGTGGAATTGGCAACATAATTTTATAGACACTGCCTCCAATTTCCCATTCCCATAGTTACCCCAAATCCTTGGAATAAATTTAACCCATTCCCCTTGAAATGTACTCTGAAGTTACAGATTGATCACACATCTGCAAGCCTGAGACCCACAATTGTTTGAATTCCCAGTTTTTTACTCATAAAGAAGGGGGCCTTTCATTTAATTCAGGAGGTCAACTTGCAAGCATAACAGCATTTCCAATAGTCAGTATCTCTTCATTCATACATGATTGTGGCTGAGCACATGCTTCCTCCAGGTCTCAGTGTGTATATCCATGGATTTCTTCTAAAACTTATGCAGAAAATTATAAAGAACAATAAAGAATACTGGAAAATTCTGCCAATTTGGCTGAAGTTTCAGTATGAGCCAAGTAAACACTGGAAACTAAGCCTTCAGCAGTTTCTGCATAAGCCAGCTGATTATCATAATCAGAATCTCTGGTAGAGCCCCCAGCAGTTGCAGCAGAATTTAAGCCCGACAATGCATTCCTTTTTGTTTTTCCACTTCTACAACCTCTGCTAGAAGTTCTCAAGTCAAGTCACTCTTCTGCTTTACTAATATAAATGTTATCACAAGAATTGGGAGTTGGCAGCAAAATAAATTATTGAATAACTGACACAACATGTACTTAAGCGTGAAGGATTTCATTTAAGGCTAATAATGCTTATTTATGTTTCTCACCAAGCCTGATCTCTTCCCCTGTTCTTTGTAGCTACTCTCTGTGCATTTAATGTGTTCGCAATGAGAAACTTTGAACGTGAGAAAGGGATTAAGGTCATGGATAGCACAGGTGAAGTCATTGGAATGTCTCGTGTGGCGGGAAAAAAAGTAAGCAAAGGAATATGTTTCTACTAGCTTGAATTCCCCCATCCTATTCTGTTTGAAACAGGCTCCCATACCAATTAAATTAAAGCATCCCTAATTAGAGTGATATTAGTCACTTGAAAATTTAGAAGGAAAGCCTATCAAAAACTACTAACCATGACAGCTATGCATTACTTCAATTAATGGAGGCAATAGATGAGTTGAGTTACTGGAAACAGAAGTGAAAGGATGTGATTATGCTTGTGTCCTGTTTGTGGATCTTGATTGCTATTGGATTAGACAGATCAATTATTTTGATCTGATCCAGCAAGGTTAATTTTTTTTGTTCTCAATTTCTATAGTTTGATCATCAGTCACATTTAGTAGCACTCTCCCCATTACTTATTTACCAGCATTTCCTTATGAACATGCATTTGGTGCCTTTGCCCAAAAAAGGGGAAATTTTTGGTTTGGCCCTTTGTCTTGTGGGATTTCCCAGGCTTCATAATTATAATATGGAAGTATAATTGCTTTGTTTGTAATTGACCGTACTGTACTGTTAATTTAAAAATAACATAATAAGGAATAAGGACTAAATAAATAATAAGGAAAATTCATCTTTTCCTTATACTACATGATATAGAGCTCATATAATGGAAACACAGATGGAATCCATTCTGGTAGCTCTCATTATGACAAAGACGGCCTCAACAGCATTTTAGTAGATTTGTACTTAGGATAAAGCTGCTTAATTAAGATTGAGGTGGGCAGCTCTTAGTTGACATGAAGCTCCCAGCTCTCTTTTACAACTCTTGGACTACCCTCTGATTGTGTTGCCAAAATCCATCAGCAAATGACCAATTGGTGTAATTTTTAACTTTTTTTTTGCTGAACAAATCGATGTGTTAAGTTTTTGTGATACATCTATTTTGACTTTCAATTCCACCAGCCACCTAGCAGCTCCAAGAAATGGCCCAAAATACTCAACCCTGTCCATCCTCTTATATCACATTCATTGGACATGCTTGTTGTGGCTTCTGGAGCCAAAAACTTTAAAAATGTGGCACCCAGATTCATGAAAATCCAAGCTCATAAGAGAGTCTTGAATATATTGTGATGCTAACTTTCCTATTGTATGCATATGTGTGTCTTTCCCTTCTGCACAGGCTTTAAGAGAAACAGCATTATCCAGAGGTATGCTCTTTGGCGTGCCAATGATTATTTCTGAAACTACTGTGTATCTCATAAATCGGTAAGATATATAGATTTCCTCAATCAAACAAGCACGAAAAAAACAAATAGAAGATGTTATCTATTATCAATAATGAAATAATGTCACAGGGGAACTATATCCATGTGTTGAACATGGGCCAGTTACTTCTTAGTGAGATTTGAGCTGGCTGCTGGTTCATCTTGCTTAGAAGAATTAAGGTAGCCTACCCTTTGAAGCTTACAGAATCTGAAGTATCCCTGAATGTTCTGGGAGACTTTTCAGGAGCCGTGGCTTTTAATTCTATTAAGATTGTGATCTCCTTTTGGATTGATGTGATGAGAAGCGTTGTTAACATTATCACTCCTGAGAACTCTGATTTCCCAGCTACTGGGTGTAATTTCTGTGCCAGCATTCTTATATGTGGCCCTAAACCATTTAAGAAGCATTTGAAATATCACTTCTGTCAATGTTCCATCCAGAGCAGTAAAATCAACAGAAAAGGCCCTTCAGCACATCCTAGAATGGTCTGGAGTAAGCCTTCTAATAGGCAACATTGGCCTTTATGAAATTCTCTCCCAAGGAAAGTACAACTAGATTCACGCTGCCTTCACTAGACAACTGAAGACAAGTCTGATCACCTAGCCATTTGGAGGGTCACAATATATTTCGGGGTCAAACTCCCTCTTAATTTTGTTACTGTATTTTAATTATTTTAATTCCTGTACTTATTTTCAAGGGTTGTTGGTTTTATTATGGTGTTTTTTTAATTGTTAGTGTGATTTGCTGTAGGCTCCTCCAAGAGGGATAAAAAAAAATAAAGGGGATTTTCTCACTCTGTGCAAGTATCTTGGGGCTATAATTGGAATGATTACAGCCTAAAATGAGAGATTCTTTATGGTAAATTCAGAGGAGACAAAAATCTTTGCTCTCCTAGAATGGTTTCTGTATTTCATGCCTTTAGGATGTCATATTGGACTCTGAATCCAGAAGAGTTTTTTGCAATCCCCAAAATCAAATTGCCAACATTTGGCAGCAAACCATCAAATGTAATGTTAGGCTACAATTTATTATTTTTTGAAAAATACCCCAATCCCAAGGAGTTGAAAATTCCATGCCTTTCCTTCCAATTAGAACTTATTATCACCATCCTCCCCTAGGCTCCTTGGCAGCCAAAATAACAAGCAAGCGTAGCCCCCAATACATGATTACCGCAGCAAGACTTTTGTATGCACAATTTTGGAAACCCCAGACACTACCAACAATACAAGAATGGTT